ACCGAAACACTGAGAACCTCAGTGGAAATTTTTTAGATATTTACCAATACCCACCCAGAGAAAGGGAAGGGCTGGGAGCAAAAAGGCTTTGACACAAGCACAAGCTAGCAAAGACAACGCATGCAAATACAGTAAAAACCCGCGACTAAGAACTTGCATTTTTCAACGTTAGTCTAAACAGGTTCTTACATAAATCTTAATTAGCATAAATTTAGGCTGTTAAAGTTCTTAATAGATTCTTATTTTCTGAAGAAAAAAATACATTACAGCTAAGAGTAATTAGTGGTATTCAGCTCATTCCTTTTGTAAAACGTGGATACCCTTACATTTATAGTTGGAGTAACAAAACATCTCTGTCTCCAAAGAGGATCCTAAATTTTAACTTATCTTATTTGCCTAAATATACAAATTTTTTCATTATTATAGATTTTTAATAGAAACTAAGAAGTTGTTTCAAATTTTGGGCTTCACAGGTTCTGTATAGAGGGGGCCTAACTGACAAATTTTAGCCTAACCGGTTTTTGAAAAACAGTTGCTTTAAGTCGTGGGCTTTTATCGCACTTCAAAAGTAGGTGCATGATGGTTCGTACGTGATGGATCCTTGTAAATGGGATTATTAACCGATGTTTCCTTTCTCGTTTCAGCGGTGCTTCTTTCGGTACGATATTGATGCCACAATTAATATTTAGTCTCTGCATGTTGAGATAACTACCCCCCTACTTCACAAAGTCGTGGAATACAGAACAAATATTGCAAGCTGAGTACCACTAATTATACTCTTAGCTATAATGTATTTTTTGTTTTCAGAAAATAAGAATCTATTAAGATCCTTGCAAATGAGGATTATTCACCGATGTTTGCTTTCTCGTTTGGTGCTTCTTCCGGTACGATATTGATGCCACAATTAATATTTAGTCCCTGCATGTTGAGATAACTACGCCCCTACTTCACAAAGTCGTGGAATACAGAGCAAATATTGCAAGCAATGGTTTTACCCATACGAGCAAGCTCTTTTGGGGTGGGAGTAAAGGAAACGCCCTCCATTTCCAACCCCACCCCCATCCCCCAAGTTGGAGGTGATTCCCTTCACTCCCTTCGATTATCCTCACTCTAACTTTGTATTTCTTTCTATCAGGTGTACGGGGGGATGTTTATAGGGAAGATTCTAAACAAGCACTTACGGGTTCGTAACTACTTTTCACGCCTACCAAGTATGGCGGAGCACATGAAGGAGAAAATTTCTGGACAAACTCGAGGATTAGCTGCTAACAACGGGGCGAGAACGACAGCAATTAAGGCGTGATCTTCGCTGTTGAACTACAGTTCACAAATTCGTCATTGTTTAGCCCTTCGTAACTGTAGGTTCTAAACATTGTACGTTAAAAGGAAAATCTTCGTGACCAAATGACAAATCATTCTGATGCGTATTTTGATTTTTCTTTTCTTTAAAGATCTACATATATAGGTATTATTTCTTTAACGGTATTAGAACGACTTGTTTTTTTGTTTGTTATTGTAAATAAAAGAATAAAACTGAAACCGTAGCCCATTCTTCTATCTGCGTAGTTAATGCATCCAGGTCTTGAATGACGTCAAACGAAAGACATGTAAAATAAGAACAACGGCAACAGAGTATGCTTTGCAAATATGCGCTTTGTAAACTGTTAACAAAAGGAAGTCGTTACGCAACGTTGCAATGGTAACAAAATTTCTGGAACTCAACGAACCGTGGACCTGCACATATGGCAGAAAACAAATGAAAAAAATGACAGTGCATAATTGCTCTCAAGAATAAAACGGTAGCTCTAAGAAAGATTGTTGAGATCCAGAAATTTTGAAACCATGGTAGCCTGAGGTCGCACTTCCTTCTATTGTACAATACAACACAATACAATACAATACAATACTTTATTCAAGAGATCAAAAAAAAAAAAATTAAGGTTTTAAAATATCTCTCGAAAAGGGATATCTAGAGGTCAACCCTATATAAAAGATTCTCCAAAATAAAAGATGAAAAGGTAAAATCTAGAATCTAAAACATTATATACAGAGAGAAAAATCTAAAACCTAAAAACTAGAATAAAAAACATCGTTTGCATATCATAATTAAAACTATTTACAATCGTACTAATCAATATTCATGTAAATCCTTAATCCGTTGCGAAATAACGTCAGCGATCTTGCGTGTACAACATAATTAGGTATTCCAAGTTATTCCACGCATTAACGATCCGTACAATGAAAGAATATTTGTAGCAATTTATGATGGCAACTTTTACATAGAGCTGATAATCGTGATTGGCTCTAGTTCGATTACACTTAGCAAGTTCAAAAAAGTCCGAAAAGGAAGGCTCTCTATTCTCTAACTATCTTGTAGCACTGAATTACAGATAATAACTCTCTACTCTCTAACCGTGATGCTCTTCTTTGGACTTTTTCCAAGGATTCAATATCGTTTTTTTTGGTAGGGGCTCCAGGCGGGGGCAGCATATATGAGTACTGAGGTCTTACCAACGACTTAAAGAGGCAAGAAAATGCATGCCGAATGTCGTTTCCGAGTGATCGCTTAATTTCACCTAACACTCTGTTCGCCTTGTTTTCTATGTAGGAGACGTGTTTACCCCAAGATAGATCGTAGTTTATTGTGACCCCTAGGTCCTTGACACTTTCAACAGATTTACAAAGTGTAGAGCCTAGATTTGATGTCAAAAACGTTTGGTGGAGAATATTAGATAATCATAAAATTCAGCTCCCTGTTCACATTTTAAGAAAACGTCCTTTAGCGACGAAACAGCCTTCATAAAAGTGACGGAGAAACCAAAGTCATTTTTCGCAAAAAAGAAAATAATGAGTTAGAGAAACGGCCTCTACCTGAATTGACGAGACAACACTAAAAATTTGGAGCATGAATCTCGTCATATATCTCAAGATTTGTTTGCATGTGTTTCCTGTAGGTCGTATCAAGGATTCCAACATGCTTCTTGGCTCAAGATCATAGACGATGCATTTGCCATTTAACAGTTTGATTGATTGATTGAATGATCGACTGATTGATTGATTGATTAATTGATTGATCTGAGAGGTCCGGCACGAAAACATTTGATTCAGCTCTAGCCTGAGTTCTATTGTTATTCTGCCTCTTAAATACACTCCAAAAAGACGTTTGTCATAGGCGTACGGGCCGGGTGGGTGGGCGAGGGGGGCTGCAGCACCCCCCCCCCCCCCAAAAAAAAAAAAAAAAAAAAAAGGGGGAGCGGAAAGAAAGTGAAGAAAAAACAAGGAATAGAAGAATTATCTCGCTCTTGTTTTTATATTAATAGTTATGAACAAAAAAACAGTTTGTAAAAGCCAGGTTTTAAAGACGTTTCCATGTTTTTTTTTTTTATTATTATTATTTTGAAGAGATAAATATTTTATATTTTAATCTGAAAAAAATCCTGAAGTAGGCGTAATAATTCTCTCGAGACATTGGTTGCCTAGCACGTGATGAGTTTCTGGTTATTAGGGAAGGGTATCACATGTTGATTTACATATTCATAGTTTTTTATTGTTGAGCACTGTACTGCACTGCACTAACTGGAATGGACTCTTTCCAGTCGCGAATTGATTAGAACAAACTTCGCATATCTTTGTAGAATCATCTCCGTTCGTAGAACAGTGTATGGCAGATAACATATAGCATCAACAATGGGTCTGGAAATGAAGAAGTGGCTGACTAGTTCTAGGTTTGATAACGGCTAAACGTCAAGATTTTCCTTTTTACCATATTTCTAACGATAAAAACTTCATCCCAAAATATCCCAATAACACTGTCACAGTTTCCGTTTTAACTTCACGAACATCGAGGCGACTATTTGAGGAAAAATATTCCGTGAACGATTTTGTAAGAACAGTTCCCAGTGCCGAGAAATATTGCCGCAAGTAAAATAGGCAATGGCGTCATTTCGTTGCTATGACAAATCCCATGTCATTGCATTCCTGACCATGACAAATTTTCATGTTTACCTAATAAAACTGTGGTGGCAATTTTTCCAAATGTTTGTCTATGGCGACGTAGTTATGCTCAGAATTGGGAGGTATTGACCCTGAAAAACTGTTACAGTATCGAGCCACCTTCATATGCCAGTACGGCCTATGTTGCTGCATCGTATGGCCCTCGTTTCTTTTCGACTTTATCTTTCGTAAAAATTTGGGCAACTTGCGAGAATTTTTTTGGGCAAATGGTTTACCGCCCCCTCTGGCAAAACATTTCCCGTACGCCTATGATGTTTGTTATTTTAAAAGAGCTTGTAAAATCTGGGGTAATCTCGGGTTTTCCTGTAGAGAAGACTTGGAAGGAAAATGAGAGTATACGTACTTATTAAACAAAACGCCTTGATACTGAACGCTTTGAAATTTCGAAAATTATTAATATTAGTGTGGGCGAAAATCAACATGTGACCTTTGGTAGACTTCGGAGATAAAATTAATAAAGACATGAAATGTATGTTGTCTTTACTCGTTTGTAACCTCCCTTTCCTTGTGTACTTAAACAAGAGATTAAAATGACATTGAAATTAAGAAACAAGAACAAAAAACTTTGAAAAAAGTTAGCTTCAGTTAGCTTTGACATCTATTCTCCTTTTGAGAAATAAACCAAAGAATGATAACAACAATTATAATAACAATACCAATGAATACGCTTTGCACTGTTGTTGACAGGGTGCGGCGCTTATTTGAGGAACGTGTTACATGATAGTTATGGCAAAAGTTAGTCAGAAACGTCATTATATCACTAAATCTATATTTTGTATTTAAATTATAAAGGGAATACCTGGATCAAGATAAGACTTTTTACCGGTGAATTAAACTATATACGTGCCTTATGGGGTGTTTCATCTTTTTTCCTCGTTTAGTACATACAGGACAGTATGTCAAGAAATCGTTTTAGCGACTATTAACTTAATGTTTGAGACTAATGGAATATTAATATCAAGGTGCACGTGACCCATTATTAATTGTTATTTCTTGTTTGTTTCATAAAAAGTTTCTACTTCGTCTGGTGTGAAGTAGAGAGTTCCGGCCAGGAATTTTTGGTCGAAGCCGGTTGGGTAGCTGTACCCGCTCGGACGACTGTAAGTCCAGCCAAGGTTGCTGAGAGACATGCGATTGGATGACGCGTAGTCGGAAATGCGAATGTCATATCCTTCTCCGAATGTAGGTCCATACCTTGAGGAACACTGGCATATGGACATTGGTCTTTTTGTTGAATAATATGTCTGGCCTGTCTGAGGCAGTTTAATAGGTGCCCATCCTGGTTTGTTCACCAGTGAAAACAAAAAGGCTTTGGAGTCGTACTGCCAGCCTCTGCTGGAAGCTATCAGAGAGAAATTAAAGATAGAACCAAGTGTAATTAGCACCGTTTGTTCTGATACTCACTTTGAAACAAATGAGAGTCTGATATGTGTTATTTATTTTACTTTGTAGTTGTTAATAGGACAAGTACAAACATTTTAAATTCATAATCAACTAAAAAAATGCAAAAAACAAACAAACAAACAAAACTAAAAAATTAACGGTTAGAGCAAACATATCAAGTCTAATATATAGATTTAACCAGGGCTAAAAGCGAAGCTCCCGTTAATAAATTCATAATTTAAATCATACAATATACTTGTAATCCACAGATCAGGGCAAATTCGTGTGGTTTTTGAGGCAACGGCTGAGTGATTTTAGAGAAAAATAATTTGACAGCGCGAGAGTGAAACAAATTTTACATCTAATTAATGGTCTTATTTGTACACCTAAAAATAGCAATTATGTTCGATCACAGTAGATTAAGCCTGGAAAACAAATAGACCTATTCTTGTATTGTATTTGCATCATAATGAGGAAATTCCTGAACCAAAACGTTTTTTTCCCAAGGGGTTTGAATTGGGTACAACATTGAGTTAACCCAACTGGTCTATTCCCAAACAAAATAACCCAGTCGCCCATCACCTTAATTTTATAAGTTTAATTCACAGTCTCTCCAACAACTCCGTTTGAGAGACTATGGATAATTGGACAGCCCCGAAATATAATTCTATGAAACACACGATAGTCCTCGGTGGCAGCCAATTTACACGTTCCATTCCTCTGTCTTAAAGGGAGGAAAAAATAAAAAAAATCAGGCCGGATTTTTTGTGTTCGACAAGTTTACTTTACAAGTAAATCTTGGCGACAAATACCAGCCTTTTAAACATACTTTTTTTTCATCACGTCTGAGGTAAACAGTACTATGAGACGCTGTTTTTTTTTTTTTATCATGCAGACCTCGCACAAAATTTGTTCTTTTTTTTGCCCTATTTAAACCTACAATTCTGCAGTTTTTCACAATTTTGTAAGACAAATTGCACTCATTCAATATCTAGGACGATCGAAGCACGCGCTTCCTTTGCACAACAAATTATAGCATTGACCACATTGTAAAACGTTTTCATGAAGAGAATTCTATAATGCCGGGACTTTTCAGTCAGAAAAATCTGGTCCTATGTGAAAACAACCGGTGCAGCGATAAAAATTGACCACTCCATTGTCTTCAATTTCTCTTGGGAGTTAAAATGGCCCCCAGGGAAACTTAAAACAATGCTTATGCAAAATTTTAGGGTGACAAACAAAGAGCATTATGGTATGTTATGGTATTTTCTGGAGTGGTCAATTGCGAGAGGGACTACTAACAATCAATAAAATAAATATAATTCGCTGAAACATGTACAGAGACAAAAAATTTCGTTCACGAAGACAAGTATTGAGCGTAATGTGTCTCTGAAAACCCTGAATCAGGTAAGCATAAAGCTTATTTATGTCTTTAGCCGGCTTCCCGGTGTTTGCTCTTTTTTCAAGATGAACCCGAGGCAAGAAAATCGCTCAGAGCTTTCTTTTTACAGCCAAAATCATAACTAAATATTCTTCGAAACGTTTTCTTTCATTGAATTTGCGGTCAAAAATATCTAAAGGCTTTTTGAACCTCATACCATTGTAGGTTATAAACTACTCGTGTATAAACTTAAGCCGCATAAACTACGCTCGACCTCAGGAAACCGAAAAAAAAAAACACACATCAATGACAATAATTGCTCAGGCTTACCACAGGCGGCCCAGACGTAGTATGTGTCACTGAATGAATATATTAATATTCACATGGACAAATTAATGCGATGAGTCGTCGAAACTCCCATGAACTAAAATAGTCCAAAGGTCAAAATATAACAAAACAAAGCTAAGATACCTTCAACTGAAGGTATCCTTGTCTTTCCTGGCCGGTTTAAGTGGCATTTTGTTGAGTTTTGCAATTGTAGGTACTATCCAATAAAGAAGAATTAAAGGCTGGCTACAAAACAAACGGACCATCTCCACGCGCCTTCACACGAAACGCTGCGTTAGTTTTGACCAGAAAACAAAAGGCGATCGCGCGACCATCCGTAAGTTTTCAACAGGGCGGCCCTGGTTTTCAAGTTCAGATTTTTTCTAACGTTCGCTGTCTCAGCTGCTGTCACATTGTTCGTCCAGCCGTTTGCATAGGTTCTTGATTCTTCTAGACCTATTTGCTTGGATTAATTAAATAAACAGTTCTTTCCAGAACAACCTCTTACTCCACAATAAACAAACTGGTGAAGGAGGACGAGAATTTTCCGCCCAGGAAAAAGGCAAAATCTGGCCTCGGCTATGCAGCTGAATAGAAGATACAGCTGAAGATATCGTAAAGTAAAATTTATGTGCGCGATATCTTTTTTTTTATTATTATTATTCTCAAACCTCAGGGGCACCCCACGATGATTTCCCCCTAAATGCATTTAAAACACATTTAAGGCTGTCCAGATTACTTTCGATCAAAAAATGCATTCTAAACAGCGCTTACATCAATTTAGCCAGCAGGGCTAAAAGCGAAGCTAATGATTTATAGTTTGCTCATACTAAATATAAAATATATCGTGTAATGCTAAGCGGAGAAGGCAACGAGACAGGGGCACCCAACGACTGTTTCCTCAAATACTTTGAAAACACTTTTGTAGCTATTCATAAAGTACTTTTAGCTCTATAGAAATGCATTCTAAGTTGCGCCATAAAATTTGTATCTCAGTGTTCGGCCATTCTAGAGGAACTTGAGTCTTTTCGAAATTACGAGGAATTCAGAATTATTTTCCCGAAAATTTTAGATGCAATTTAACGTATTACGAAGGAGATAATTGTTCAGATTCCTTCTTTCATCACATTTTTGAATCCTAAGATTTTAGGATTCCTTTTTACTCTCTACGAAAAATAGCCTATCCCGGTGAGTGAAATGTGAAAAATTAAACGTTGGATGCCCTTGACCAGAACTGTGAAAAACAACAATAGGTCAAGTTGCAGCACACTTTCTTGTACATTTCCTTGCCTTTGATTTGCATGACTGCAACGTGAAACGTCCAGAAAACTTCCTGGTTTTTACTTTTTATGGAGGAAATGTGGTACATGTTCTTGTTCACTTTTTCCACTGCCGCTCATTTTTTTTAGCCCCGCTATAAAATTCGTATCTGTTCGGTGATCCTAGGGCAAATTGGATCTTTTTAAAAATTACAAGGGCTTCAATATTATTTTCCCGATTGATTGACCTAGAAGCAATAGTACCATCCCTCCCATAGCAAGTGCTGCATTGTTGCGCGAAGGCGGTCGCTAAGCTTGAATATTCACGTCGCGTATTAAACCTGGTAGTTTGCGGTCATATCGAAGCGTAATGGTCAACAGCGGTTGTTGATGAGCGAGCAATTTTTGTGCAGTTGCGATGGGTTTTGTGGAGCCAGCGAGCAAGAAGCAGGAGCACACGTTACCTGCAGATTAGCCGATGGCAATTTGGAGCGGATTCGTCGATTATTCTCGAATTTATAGCGCTTCGTGTGAAGGCACGTGGAGATGGTCCGTTTGTTTTGTAGCCAGCCTTTAATTCTTCTTTATTGGATAGTACCTACAATTGCAAAACTCAACAAAATGCCACTTAAACCGGCCAGGAAAGACAAGGATACCTTCAGTTGAAGGTATCTTAGCTTTGTTTTGTTATATTTTGACCTTTGGACTATTTTAGTTCATGGGAGTTTCGACGACTCATCGCATTAATTTGTCCATGTGAATATTAATATATTCATTCAGTGACACATACTACGTCTGGGCCGCGTGTGGGCCTACAAGTCGAGATGCAGCTCTTCAAGGTCATCAAGTCAGGCCAGAATCACTTGAGACTTTTCAACCCTCTTTGTACGCCTCAAGCAATAGCCTGTGAACAGAGAGCCTGTTCACAGGCTGCTCAAGCAAGGGCAAGTGAGTAAGCTCATTTTTGAAAACGATGCCATCTGAAATCGGATTTCCAATGACTTTGACAAGCGGTGCATTTCTCAGCCAAAAGGGCAATAAACGCCATGAATTACACAGAACAATCTTGTTAGCAGCTCTGGAAAATGGCACGGCAAATAAGCAGGGGCAAGTGAGTAAGCTCATTTTTGAAAACGATGCCATCTGAAATCGGATTTCCAATGACTTTGACAAGCGGTGCATTTCTCAGCCAAAAGAGCAATAAACGCCATGAATTACACAGAACAATCTTGTTAGCAGCTTTATTTCATTTGGTACATCAAGTAGAAAACGACAGTTCAAAACATCACAAGATGACAAAAATACCCTGTCAGCTTCAGCTATCAGTAAGCAAGTTTCCAGACGCTGCATGAAATTTTCCGCATGAACTCACCTGTCAAATTTTGACCAATCCGGCAGAGCATAAAAATTAAACGAAGAGCGTGATCAACGCGTGACTATTGTGAGAAAAGTCAAAAGCGATTGCCTTCCCTGCATGTAAAAGCCGCTTGAATTTTCGCGTCCGAAATCAGTTTGAAATCAAAATTTTAAAAGTGGGGCTCATGAACAGGACGTATTTCATATGCATTTCAAAATATTAAACTTGAGCCAGCGATCATTGGAAAAGTACCAACTTGTCAGCTGATAACTTCAAAAAAACACTCAAACTCAGTGGGTCGATACCTGAGCCCACGATGCGGTTAAGCGATACTGGTCAGCAGATAAACTATTTTGACAGCCGTCAATTAACCAAGACACAGATGTACAATATCAGGTTGCAGGCTCCCAAACTAGCTGGAAAGTGTGAGATTAAACATTGGTATGCCTGTGGTGCGGACGACGGGAAGTCGGGTGGTGGGCGTACGGTCATTGCTAAATTTTCTAGGATGGATAGATTTTCTAAGCTGTGGGGCTTCGAATTGAGCCCGTGCTCAAATAAAATATCAGAGGAAAACTTTAAAAAATACGTGACCTCAATGGGTAGAATAATGAGCCCGCGATACAGTCAGGTGATGATGGTCAGCGGGTACTCTAGTTTGACAGCTATCAATTAACCTTCATTAGAATCGCGAATATTCGAATTAACAAACTACGAGTGTGAGTAAGACATATCCGTCCGGCTTGTAATGGAAATGCCAGATCGTGTACCTGAGCGGACCTGAGCCCACGTTATTAGTTTTCTGATAGTGGTCTGCGCATGTCCCATTTTGACAGCTGTCAATTGACCTTAATTTGGCTTGCGCATGTAACTTTAAACTACTGTCAGCCGACTGAAAGCCCTGCCCGGCGTAGTTTCGTTTTTATGTTGAATAGGTAAGTCTGACATATTATATCAGCTTATATGTAGGGGCAAAACGACTGGTTTTTCATCTGAGCCTGCGAGATGGTCATGTGATAATTGTCAGCGGATGTCTGATTTTGACAGCTGTCGATCTAATCATACTCATACGGATGGCTTACATAACTGAAAGGCTAATCAAGTTGTGCAAGATCTATTGTGACATTTGACATCGGCTTACATGAAGTGTGTGTACGGGTGGGCGGGCAGGCGTACGCTACGTCATAACCAAAATATTTCGGATGGATAGTTTACAAACTTTTGTTAAAAATAGTGCTCTGCTGCGCGCGCGTCGCGCGCGCGTCGCGCGCGCGGGAGCTCCGCTATAAACGAAAATAGCTTCAATTTTAATTCAAAAATTTTGTGTACATTAGTTGAAATTTTCCTCCCAGAAAATATTTTTGCCTCATTCATTATCTTTAACTGAACACAACGGACGTACTATTAATGGTAATTTCACTTAGACGCCGTGTACACACTTTTTTGCCTTGAAAGATTGTAGTTTTTTTTTAACACTCTTTAACTCTAGTTTTATAGCTTTCTTATTAAACTAGTTGATGTAAGCAGGTTCGATTGCTTTGTTTCAAACGGGGAAACTATTGGTACAGAAGTTTTATCGAAAATTTAGAGCCTGCAATTTCAGTCTTACAGACCATTACAATCATTATTTTAGGAATTGGTAGTTTTAACAGAGGCAAATAATTGTAACGATCGGGATCAAATTTTAAGTAATGTTTAATAAACGAACGGGAGGGTTTTATCGGGGTATAAAGCCACTCGGCTTCCCCTCGTACCTTTATACCCCGATAAAACCCGATCCACGAGTTTATCATCCTCGGAGACCCAGAGGCAGTCAGTCGGGTCGGGAAAAATGGCGGGACGAAAGTTTTCAATTAAGTGCGGAAGAGCCCCTGGGTACCGACTCTCACCGAACTATTTCCAAAAATTCAAGCTGATACCGGCTCCTGATTGGGCACAAAAAATGCTTTGTATTATTGTGCCCAACCGGCGAACAGTTGCTCCTGAGTTCTTTTCGTGAGTTCGTACACGACGGCTATTGTCTCGCCACACTTGCCTGGTTCGTTCACCAAGATTGTGCGTACAAGGGAAACTTTTATTTTCTAGTTCCTAACCAGAAACAAAGGAATTACCGATGAGTTGAAAAAACGTTTGGGTTACTATCAGCAAGAGCAATTGAATTTGCCCCGAGAATATTCTGTTTTTGAAGGATCACAATTAAGATGCGGCGGCGATGAGAAATTCAAATAAGTAATAGCTTGACAAGGCAAAACAACAACTTTGCTCGTGCATCACGCTTTTTTGTACATTTCTTTGCCGTTAACTGCACGACTACCCGTGAAAATGCCTAACTTCACGTTTTGGGAAGGAGTAAACAAGCAATAACAAAATTCATTCTCTTCATGAACTTTGATATGGTTCGGAAGAGTTCCCTTGCATTTGACAAATTAAGCGAGTTGGATCAGATGAGGATTTTATATCAAACTGAAAGTTTCCTGACTGCGTGCATTTCTTTGGTGCATAAGCTAGACAAGCCGTGATCGAGACAATAGCCGTCATTTACGAACACACGAAAAGAACTCGTTGAGATGTGTTCGCCGATTGGGCACAATAATACAAAGCATTTTTTGTGCCAAATCAGGAGCCGGCATCCGCTTGAATTTTTGGAAATGGTCCGGTGAGAGTCGGTACCCAGGGGCTCTTTCGCCCTTAATGAAAACTTTCGTGCCGCCTTTTCTCCCGACCCGAATGACTGCCCCTGGGTCTCCGAGGATGCGAGTTTATTGAACGACTTCAAAAACATCCCTGGAAAAGCATGTCTCAATGGAGTTCATAACAATAACGCTTTTGTGAACCGTTGGAAATTAGCATACGAAAAAAACATTACGTATGAAATTCTTATGTAAGAAAATCAAATCTCACACGTGTTTAGAAATTTTCCAGTCTACGAACGACACTAACCGAAGAGGACATAGCGTCTTGTTCCAGAAGTTTTCGGAAGCCTCAAAATGCCGAGGAAGAAAGGAAGTTAACTGAAAATGGTACCCCGAAGTTAACTATTCCACTTAAAAAGTATTATTCGAAAAAATTTTTCTGGAATGGCCGAATGCTGGTAGGTAAACAAAAATCCAGTAATCGAATCGAGCCTTGCGTATTCACAACTGGCAAGTCTTGAGTGCAACTCTTGGACACTGCTATAGCCAATACTACCGCGGTGTCACTGAACTCTTGGCTTATTAAATTGGTGAAAGAACAAAGTTTAATTTTTTCCAATAGTAAATTTACTGCGTGTGTTATTTTGAAAGAACATTAAATGTTCACCCACCATTTGTTGTGTCAGTTGCTGTGCTGATAATTAACATTATACGTCACGTGCATTGAAACAAAAAGGCACCCTTATTAGTATTTTTTATATAAAGAATAATATTTATAAGTACGAAATTTTTAAAGTTTGACAGTGTTTTACCGGGGTTTAAAAAAGGAGCACGAGACGGATTTTAGCGGACGTGAATAGGTTGTTGATCTCATAAATTATTAATGTGTTTTTGAAGTCTTGAAACAAAGCTAGTAGCCGTTAGTAGTAAGGTTATCTATTTTTGCACTGTTAACTTACCCCATGATGCACTGGTGTATCCTCCAAAAATATATTTCCCAACCCTTATTATTGTTACAGTCGGTCCCTTGCCATCACATCGTGAGTGAAATGTTCTTGCAGCCCATCCGTCAACAGATGCACGCCAGCAAAGTTTCCAGGCAGAATTCACACTTCGTGCCACAGGAGACAGCCAGCTTCTTAAAGTCCTCAAGTAATTTCCGCTGTTTCCCACAATAACGGAGTCTTCTAAATCTAAAAAAATATCGACCAGCATTAAAAAGTAGTCCTTTGTAAGGGAATACAAGACAGGCTTAGACTCTGGATTCCAGGCCGTGGATTCCAGATTCTAGGTACCGGACTTTGTCAGTGGACCTTTGATTCCGGATTCCAATTTTTAGATGGATTCCAGATTCCTTGAACTGTTTTCCGGATTGCAATGGCCACGATTCCGGGATCCAAAAGCGAAAATTTCCTGTTATTGGATTCCACAAGCAAAAATCTGTCGGATTTCTGAATCCGGATTCCTTTCCACGTGGCGAGGCGTTATAACAACCGACCGCTAACGTCAATAAGAATTATAAACAAGAAGGAGAGAGACATAACAGAGATATGCCAGGCAGGCCCTCATTCCATGATACTTTAATTTCTAATATTTGGGCCTTTTTTTTGGATGTCACGTTACGTTAAGTTATAACCTTTCACACTCATAATATATAGATATAAAACAACATGATGTAGGTCTCTAGTAAATTTTATCGCTCGATTAGGAGTAATCAGAGCTTAGGAGAGTGCGTTCGATATGTTTGTTAGGCGTACAAGTAGCAGTTGAGGGGGATAATAAGTAGTTAGTAAAATGGGTATCCTGGCTCAGTCTTCGAATTCCAGAATTGCATTAAAAAAACTAATAAAATCCCAGAATATGCAAGGGATTTTAAAAATGAATACCTTTTTATAAGAGGGATTAATAAGGAATTCAAGTATTTTGTTGAAAATATAAATGAAGCGACTCGTGGATTATTTCAAAATCATAGAGTTGATAGAATAAAAAAATTTATTAAAAAATTTGTGTTAGCTCAAAAATTAGGCTACCTTAATGATGTTAGTAATTTTGAGATTAAAAGTAGTGATGTTGATTACTTAATTAAGATTAAAAAGAATTTTATTAATTTTAATCAATATATTCAATTTTGTAAAGATTGTTATGATGATCATGATGATCAAATTTTTATTGATCCTTATCCTGGTTTAAAAAACATTTATGATGATTATGAATTATTTTGTAGTAAGTTTAAAATAGAATATGAAGATGGTGGTAGTTTTTGGGATTATTATACTGATAGCGAGAGTGATAGTGAGAGTGATGGAGTTGATAGTGATAGTGAGAGTGATGGAGTTGATAGTGATGATCTTAAGGTTATATTATCTGATAGTGATAGTGATTAATATTTTTAATCTTATAACATATTTTTTTGTTATAAGATTAATACTTTCCTAAATATATCCATCGATTTATAACAATCTATTTTATTAAATAAATTGTTAGCTATATTTATAAATTTTTTATCAGAAGAATTTCTAACTGAATCTTCGTAGTAATATGCTTCGTAAAGAAATGAAGATATAGCTGGAAATTCTTCGTGAAAACAACACTCTTCATCTTTTAGCTTAGTTTTTTTAAATTTATTTACACTTTTTTCTATTTTAATAAGAGTATCAGTATCTCTATAAAAAGAGGGGATGTAATGATAATGAAAACTATTTGGTAATTTATTATAAAAAGGCATGATATTTTTTTCAATAATTTTTAAATCATTATAAACTTTTTTTGAAGGATAAATAATATTCCATTTTTTAAACATCATTTATTATATATTTTTTTTTGTTTTTGAATTATATAATTTATATACAAATAATGATAGAATACGATATTGAAAATTTATCTAAAAAGATTAAGGAGGCAAAAGAAACTAATAATTTAGAAAGGGAAAAAATTTTAAAAGGTTTTAGTAGACTTTTATCAATTTGTTCAAATATTTATAAAATAGTAGAAGATTATGAGAATGACGAGGAGTTTGAAGAAATAACTAAATTTTTTTCTTTTATAGCTCAGATTTTTTGTAATTATATAGAACATTATATAAATGACAAAAAGATTAGTTTAGATCGTTTAGAAATTATTCTTGATTGTTTAGCATATGAATACACTTTTTATGGTGGAGGTTTTGATGAAAGAGGAAATAGTTTTTTATCTTTAGGGAAATGTGTTGTGGAGGATCAGGATAATGATGAATTTTTAGATATTCCTATACCAATTACAAAAACAGATAAATGGTATAATGATTTAAAGTCTTTTAATAGATAATAATGCATTTATGATGATTTGTAAGCAGAGAATATTTATGAAGATAAAATTAAGATGTTGATTTAATAAAATTAGGGAAATTCCCATTTGCTAAGTTGTGTGTAAAGGGAAATTTCCCAACAAAAATAATCTGATCTAATCAAATAATAAAATGGAATTCAAAAAAGATATTCCTACAAAGGAAGATTTGGATTTTATAGTTGGTGATGGTTATAATCATGATGAGGATCCAACATATGAGCCTAAAGATTCCTCTTCGTTAGATGATGATAAATATGTTGTTTCAGGTAAGGAGTTTAAAAAACTAACCAGAAAAGCTAAAAAACTCGGCGCTGAATCGCTTGATTATTCAACACGTAAAAATAACAAATATGTAGCAACACTTTCAAGTGGAAAGAAAATTCATTTCGGGTCGTCACAGTATCCAGACTATCTTATCCATAAGGATAAAGAGCGAAATGAGAGATATCTCGCTCGAGCTAAAAAGAACTTATACTAATCCTGAATCGGCTAACTACTGGTCGGTTAATCTTCTTTGGTAAAAAAATGTCTAATCATTTAATAAAATGAATTCTCTTTTATTAGATGAAAAATGGATTGAGGAAATAAAAGATTGTAATAAAAAATTATTAAATTTAGAGAAGGATAGTGATATTTTAACTAATATACATGAAAAATTAAAATCAGGTTTTTCTCTTGATAAAATTAGTATTGATGCTGACGGAGTTGACGCTTATAAAGAAGAAAGTTATGTAAGGTTAATTTTTATGCATGGTATACATTTAGATGATGGTAGTATAGTTGAAGATGGTGGTGATTATGTTTCTGTTTATTTACCACTTCCTCTTAGATTTGATGAAGAATGGTTTAAGAAATATAAAGAACTAAATTTAACTGTAGAAAGTATTAAAAATTATGATGTTGAAGGATATTTAAAAAATGATTTAAAGAAATAAAATATATAATAAAAATGCAGTTATCCGCTTACGATTATCTAACATCAGAAAACATTATCTTTAATGAAGCCAAAGAGTATAAAGTGAAAGATGGCAAGATCAAATACAAACGTATCCCAATTGAAGTCAAATATTCAAATGGAAAGAAAGGAGCTTTGGTAATCGAAACTCCACTTCTTTTCTCTTTTGGGGTAAATGAGAAGAAGAACCAAGAAACAAACAAGTTAGTAGGTTATAGTATGCCTGTATGCCTTTGGGCTAAAGATAGTGAGCCGAATAATAAAGAAAAAGCATTTTTTGATGTTATTAATAATGTAACAACTCTCTCTCAGCAACATCTAGAGAATGAATACGGTGCAGATCTGGCATCTTCTCTATCTTCACCATTTTATTACAAACAGGAAGAATATACAGATAAGAAAGGAAAGAAGAAAACAAGAATAGACCCCTCATCCGCACCAGTTCTCTATGCAAAACTTATTTACTCAGAAAAATCTAAGAAAATTCTTTCTCTGTTTAAGACAAAGGGAAAGAAAGATTTAAATCCTTTTAAATATATTGATCAGTACTGCAATGTTAAAATGGCACTTATAATAGAAGGAATCTTTATAAGTAAAACTGTTACATCTTTGCAAAGAAAAGTACATGAGTGCTATGTCAAACCATTAAAACCTAGAGAGTCTTTACTAACAACTGAAGAGGAAGATGCAGTAGTTACTGAGCAAGTAGTTGAAGACTTAGTTATCTCTGATAAAGAAGAAACTGCGTAATTATAGGATTTATTTTTAATACAAATTTTGTATTAAAAATCAACCAAATCCTTAGAACTCACCCATGAGTTAAATTTATCAGGATATCCACTCCATTTTACTAACGCCATCTTTTTCTTATTATCCCTCCTGATAATTTTTTCTACTCTAAATGTTTGCTGTTTTGCTTTCTGTAATTCTTGTCCATAGAAAGAACCCTTAATCTCTTCTCCTGTCAAATCAACGATACTATACGTAACAGGTTTTGTTGGAAAAACTTTATCAATTACAAATATCTTATCTGTCCAGTTTGGTGTGTAACCTTTATCAAATACCTTTCTCTTATATTTTGAAATTCTAACGTTATCTCCAATAGAAAACTTTGGTTTACCAGGTTTCAAGTAAATCGAATCGCCATACAAATTAGACCAAACTTTATTTTCATTTTTCTTTTCACTCGCTTCAACAGGAGTCATTTTAATGCTATAGTGTCTCGCATTATTGTAATCATTAACCAGTTTATCTATCTTATCCCAGCAAACAGTGTTGTTATTTACAGTAAACATCTTCCACATTCTGTTTTTCATTGTTTTATTCCATCGCTCAACAACACTAGATTTTTCTTCATTTTCAGTGTGATACAGTTTAATTCCCTCTCTTTTCAGAAACTCTTTAAAATGTTTACTGATAAACTCAGAACCTTTATCAGTCCATAGCATCTTTGGTTTACGTTTACTCTTAAATATGTCATCAAATGCTTTACTAACAGTTTCAGTTTTCTTATCTTTCAATCCCCTAATCCAACCATACTTGCTAAACACATCTATTACCATTAAAAGATACTTTATCCCTTTATTCCATTTACTAAACTTTTGCATTTCAACCAAATCAGCAGCCCAGATATCATCAATTCCGTTTGAGACTACTGATCTCTTTTGAAAGTTTCTTGTGATTGGTTTGTGAAGTTCGTCGGCTAATTGTTGAGACCAGTCACTACTCAACGCCAACTCACGTTTTTTTGAAGGCCGAGTCCAAGTTTTTGTTTTGTATTTATTAATGTTCTAGCTAACCAATGCCCCCATTGTCTTTTTTCCAAGGAATTGCATCTAGTGATTTTACCATTTTTCTATCAGCTTCATTTTTACATTTTACTTGTTCACTTTTTGGTTTATTTCCACAGACGCTATAGTCAACATCATGTTGCATACTAACCGCATCCGTTGGTCCTGTTGGTTGTTGATATATTTCTAGTATATTTCCCTCATCATCATGGCGAAGTTGGTCCTCAAGAGGATTACCAGGGCCAGTATAATTTTGACCTGGTACAACTAAACCTTTTTTTGGTGCCACTTTGAGAATAGCATTGTGAATAACTATTCCTTTTCCATCCAATTCTGGTCTATCAGTTTTATATTTATTTTTTGGTCTCACTTTTGTTGATAACTGGTCCATTGCTGATCCAACAGAATCTTGAATAAATGGAGTGAGTTTATTAATCTCATAATTTACAGCTTTCTTCTGAAAATTTTTATTTCTCATTAACTCGCCTGCTCCATATCTTCCCATTTCAACTGCTTTTTTACCCATCCAAGGTAAACCGTAATGAACAAAACCATCAACTGCTGTGCCTACTACAGTATCAAAGACGCCCGCCCCTTCAGACGGGCTGATTAGTTTTTTGACTTTCGTTTTCTCTTTTTTCCACTTCCAGTTTGAGAAGCTGTTCCAGTTTTCACATATTTAACTTTTTTATTTCCACAAACTGCACATCTACAAAAGAATTGAGTTCTACCTCTTTTATCTTTTTGGTAACCACTTGGCTCTGTGTAAGGAGTTACTCTTTTATCTACAATACAATATGATTCTGTCATTTAGTATAATGTTTAGATAAATATGTCTACTAGATCTAATTTTTTAAAAAGTGAACTTCAAAAGATATACAATAACCTAAACATGAGTTATGAATATGCTGATTTTGCTAAATTGGAAAATGATACTAAATTTATAAAAATATTTGAGTTGCTGATGGAAATAAGTGAAAAATCAAGTACTCTCAATAAAGTTGTAAAAGGTAATTATCTATTTATATAATAAATGGAAGCCAAATTCTTTTCTGAGATAGAAAAAAAGATGGATGTTTAAACATTAAAAGATTTTGAGAAAGATGTTCGAACACAAATAAATAATGAGTTTGAGACTCTTAGAAAGAAAAATGATGATCTTTCTAGAATACTAATGACTGGTGAATGTGAGATGTGGGGAAAAATCAGAGATGAGGACTATTCTTGGTTGAAAATAAATAGTGATAAAAAGAAGAAACTTTTTAGACTTATTAATATTTACTCAAAATTTGATGAAATAGTTGATAGTGTTAAAGATTTAAGTGTAAAAGTTGAGAGTGTTAAACAGCTAAAGAATTTACCAGATGAGTAAAAAAAAATGATTTAAAGGTTTAATTAGTAAATATAAAAAAAAAATGGAAGACAAGTTTGTTAAAGATTTTGATTTATCTTTTGATAACCAGTTACTAGTTGATTACGAGATTGAAATTCGACATGAAATTAATAGTCTTTTAGTTGATCTTAAAAAAGAAGATCATTATTTTTATCAAATGGTAAATCGTCGAGAAGCAAGTTTTTGGGAAGATATTATAAAAGAATTTAGTAAAAATTGTGTATTATATCCTGAAGAAAAATTTAATAGGTTAACTAAAAATATTTTAAAATATAAATCTCTTTGTGATATGAGTGAAAAAATTTCTAGCGCCTTAGAAGGTATTGAAAATAGTAAAAACTATATAGAGATAAGTAAAAAAAACTTTATAGATTAAATAAATTTATTTTATTTAATCTTAAGAAATTAAGAAAAGTATGCTTTTATAAAATCACTGTTGTCATTATCAAAATGAGGGTTATGTATTACATCTAAAATACTATTACCCCGTTGCCGCTCGATCAGATAATATAAACACCAATAACCACAGAGAACAGTACTGCGATTTTGTATTTCATCAATTGAGTAAACTATTTGTTTTCTAGCTGTACGAAAATACTTTAATGCTTCATTTGGCATTATTAAACCAAAAGGATCAAAGTACTCAACTACATTGTTTATATTTCTATAACAAACCCAGTGTGTTCCAGGACCTGTCATATCATCTAGATTAATTATTCCACATTCTTTTCTTATATTTTTTGGTAGTCCATCCCTACGGTAAATACCTCTGAAATGTTTAATACCAAGTTTCTTTACCCAATCCATGAGGTCAAAGTTGGATAGAGGTTTAATTACAAAATGGCTCCTATTAAAGGAATTGAGTTGAATGGACTGTTTTTTCCTAGAAGAAGACCTTTTCCTTTGGACTTGGATTTTTTTTTTTTAACTCCCATTCCAATTGGGTTTTTCCATGTACCTAAAAAGGGTGGTGGGTAGTAAGGATAACCTTCACCATGTGTGGGTGGAGGAGGAGGATGTGGAACGTAAACATTTGCTGTATTAGATGATCCATGTCTATCAACCTGCAATCCAGATCCAAACATCTTAGATACTAAACTAATTGCCATTGGAATTCCAGTAGATGCAAGAGTTCCAAGAAATCCTCCTTCTATCTGTTTACGAGTTGGTTTTATAACTAATCGGCCACCTGTTTGATAAGCTTTGTTAATTTGATTTATTTGTGATTTGGTAAATTCTCTTACAAGAGGTGGTAACATTGGGAAAAACTGAGGGGGGATTGTAATTCCTTTTCCAAATATTTTATTTATTCCAAGTTCTCCAAGTGCAGTAGCAGCACCAGTTGCTAATGCAGGAACAGCTTTCGAAATTCCTTTTATTGCATATGGTAGTACTTTCGCTCCAAGAGATGCGAGTGAAGAAAATAAGTTTCCACCATGTTTTACAGATTTTCTAATCTGAGTTTTACTTATCTTTATATCCGATCCTGTACCATTTGCAATAGATTTTTTTATTTTAGCAATTTGTCTTTTTGTTAACATTAACTCATCAGAACCTCGAAGTTGTGAATGTTTTAACCGAAGAGTTAGTGGTGATTTATTTAATATTGCAGAAGCCAATTTTGACTTTTTGTCCATCTGCAAGTGTTACACCATATTCTATATAAGTAGTCATTTTATTTTAATATTTAGATTATATTAATTTCAGGAAATTTAATTAAATCTGTTATTCTTTTCTTTTTAGAATTATATGTCGTATGTAATTACTCATTTTATTTTATTTTTAGATTAAGCACGAAGCAATAGTTTTCCTCCTTGCTGTTCGATTTCTGCCACTCGTTCGTGAAGTATTAAAGCGTAGATATTATAATCAGCGTTTGGATTAGCAGATAATTCATAATGAAACGACAATTTTGTAACTCCGTCTTTTATATCCATTTTTTGTTTTGTCAGGTCAAAGTAAACAAACGGGAACAAAGACCCAAAATTTGTTCTATTAAGTAGTGTACCACCTTGAAAGTCGTTATTTGCTTAAACATAACCCATTACTTCTCTGAAAACTCTTGCTGGATCTGTAGCTGGTTTAAAGTGAATATCAGGGTACTCATTTCCATTTCCAACCTCAAGATAACAGCGAGATATATTGGCATTGTTTGGCAGATTAAAAGTGTCGTATAAAAATGGATTTGCTGTTTGTGAATCAATATTGGCTGTGTTAATTCCAAAAACAAAGACATGGCGAGGTTTTGAGGTAGCATTTGTAATTCTAAAATGACCTGTTTGCTGTTGAGAGTTATTTGATCGCTCTACTAATTCATTAAGATACACTCATTTGTAGGGCTTAAGATAATTTTCCATGTATAGTTTTTGTCCTTCTGAGTTAAATGTTATTCTTGGAACAAATAGTTGAAATCTTGTTAGTATAACTCTACAATTGTTTCCTCCAACTCGCCAGATAACATTGTTATCTGATTCTAGTTCAATATTCAATTCAATTTTTGTATTTGGAAGAAGTTTGTCCTCTAATGATTCAAAGAAAGAATATCTGTTAAGAGGAATTTCACATCGTACTGTTGCTGAGTCGCCTAATAGTGCTTTTCTTATTGCAAAACCTTTGTTATAATTAGCTACTACTGCATCTAACATATTACCCGCTTCATCAGCGCTGCCAGCAGCATTTTGCCTGTGTGTTACTCTCCTTGATGTAAATTTTTGTCTTTCAGCATGTCTTGATGTATCAAGATAGTAAAATTCATTTGTGGCAACACTCTCAACATAAGATGGATTATATTCAAGCAAATTCTTAATATTTACTACATGATTAGCATAGTTGCAACTGTAAATATCTCTACCATTTGCTAGGATGGATAACTTTTCTATGAGAGAACTACTTCCATTTACTATTCCCATTTGATCTCCATCTGCATCTATATCAGCTCCAGCAGCCAGCTGATTAACTTTGAAATCTACTGAAAATCGCTCGTTATACCAATCAAAAGGAGTAGATTCTCCTGTGTTATCAGCAACAAATCTATGGCCTGTTTTAGTTTGATGAGCACCATTTCCAGGTGCGGCTAAAGGTTGTTCAAGGTCAAAAACAACATCCTCATATCTTTCTAAATATTTTGGATTTATAAAAGACTTCATTTTATTTTAATAATTATATAATTTTCTCTTACGTGTTGAACCTCCACTAAGAATGGCATTCACTCTTTTATTTATCTCTTGTTGAGTCATTTTTTTGTTTGGAATTGTTTCAACATTTTTATTAAAAGTAACCTTTGGTTTATTATTACTTTTGGATAACATTTGCACTATTTTATCACCAGCCTTTTTGCCTACATGTTCACCAGTTTTTGTTGCAGCTGCTGTTACCGCTTTTTGAGCGCCTTTTTTAGCAGCTTTTTTCATTGTCTTTCCAAATAATTTTGAACCAAACGATTTAAACACATCATTCATTCCTTCTCCATAAATATGTTTTCTTGTATATCTACCCAATTCAGGGTCAAGTTTCGTTTTAAACTCTGATTGTCTCATCATTTTATTTTAATAGTTATATTACATTGAATGGAGTATCAAAGTCATAAACCAATCTATACCATTAAAATTTACTGGTCTGCTAAGGGAGTCTCCCTTACCATTTTATAGTATACTTGAAGTATACATATTATGTAATCAAAGTATACTGCAAAAAGTATACAAAAAGTATATTTTTGGTAGGAATTAAGTTAGTGTTGAGTATACTTGAAGTATACTTGTGAGCATACTTCAAGTATACTCTGAGTATACTACAACCCACCTGAAATTGGAACACCCTAAAGTATACTTTAAGTACACCTTAAATATGCTTATAGGTGTACTCGAAAATCAGTTGGCAGACAAGCTATATGAAAAGTATACTTTTATAGTCCTCTCTGCATGGTCTCAATTTTACCTCATTAGAGGCTTAATTTACATATTTACTTACTGCATGTCACAGTCGCATTTTTTAGCTTCTTTTTATATCATCCCCTGTCCCCATCAAATATATTAATTTTCATCACAAGTAAAATCTTGGATGAACCTCACACTGCTAGAAACATGTCACATTTTTTAACAACCAATTGACAATGTAACAATGACTTGAAATTAAAGTATTGTCCAAGATACAATATAACTTTGACAACAAATAAATTTTGTATGTTTGAGTGTTATTAAATTGCAAGGGACATTGCTTGAGGATTGTGCTGCTAAATTTTACCAGAAATACAGCCACACAAATATTGAACTCTAGTGCAATTTAATGCATTTTAAAATATATTTTTATTAATCAATTTAACCGCTGTCATAGTAAAGTTTAACAAATCCTGTGTCCTCTGCCAATGTCAAGTGTATAATGTTACTTACAGTAGTTTTACAAACAACTCATCTGTTGCTGAAGCCACTGTCAGTACTCAGCTGCTCTACCCTACGGACTCTGAGCTGCTCGTCTCTGCAAGCCCATTTTTTTTGCTTTGGAAGTCCCGTATCTTCTATGCCTAAAAGCCACGGCAATTGCTGTAAATACTTTTTACTAGTAAGACCCTCTTGGATTCCATTACATGAGGTGAAAAAAGGGAGGATTCGTTGGGTCACAAGTACTCCATCAACAGAGTCTCAACAGCCTATAGCTGCGCCAAAAGCGTTAAAATTCTGTGCTCAGTTCCTCGACAATTAATTCTGATTAAATTTTAATCCAAGGTTATTTCAGTCCAAGTTTTGTGATTATGCCTTACTCGCTCGGAGATCGAGCTATGAAAACACTAAAAACATGTAGGGCAGTAAATACAAAAACGGAATATTCTGCAAATCCTGTATTATAGACCTTAAACTGAATGTGTTCATTACACTAACTGTGTTGCTTTATTGTTGTTTAAAACAATCAAGCTTAATAGCTCAACTTCAAATGAACGCACGACCGTTTTAGTAAAGAAAAATGAGGAGAAGCAGATCAAGAGAAGAAACTAAAATGTAGTTCCTTTCTAAACCTCACAAGAATCGACATCTTTTTACAAAAGAGTGAAAAAAATATAAAGATAACCCATTTATCGAAAGGAAAGGACAGCACTTACCTTTTCAGCCAGTCTCCCATTATTAAAATGAAATCATCGAAGAAAGGATTACAAATCGATGTAGGAAAGCTTAGGAAAAAATAAAAGTCCTGTTCTTGTTCTCTGCAGTTCAATGGATACACGTCATCTCTATCTTTGTTGTGATTGAACGAATGAAGAGAGTTTGGCAGCGGCGTTCAGAAATTCGCGCCAAAACCGTCAAAACACGGGTGCTAGGATCCAGTCTTTCATCGTCCCGTCCGAGTGCGGCCATCTTGGTTTCTGAACGTTCGGATCGATTTAGATCTTTGAGATCTTTGTGCATATGCTGATTTTTTTCCACCGGTTAATCTAATAAACAATATGTGAGGGACAAGCATGAGATCTGAACTGAGGTCAGAGTAAAGGAAACTGCTTGAGCTTCTTACATATATAGCCTTGAGTTCGCAAGTGAAGATCGAAGTCACTCTCCGTTCATCGATATTTACCTGTCGTTCTACGGAAGCAGAAGCTCAATGCCGAATGGAAGAACAAAAGGACGTTAAAGTGAGAACGCACGGCTGTATTTTCGGTCATTTTAATCACACTTCACAATTTTTCTTGCTCTTTTTGATTTAAACTTAAGCTTTGATGCATGCACGAATGCATGCAAGTAATTTAGCGACCGATCGTTTCTTATGTGTGTTTCTATCAAATTCTGTGATGGTCCTAATGTCAGTTTCATTTGCAGACTTGCTGATAGAATCGAGAAGGACTAAACTGAATTTGCTTTTTAACTGACATTGAAGGGAACTGGTACTTTTAATTTACATCCGTTTTGAGGCGTTTTGCACAATTTATTTTAAATTACAGTTACATGTAATTAATGTTTCCATTAAGAAAGAGCAGTAGCTAGTACAATGTTATGCCTTTTAATGGTCATTTATACTGCTGCAGTAGATTTGAAGTATACTTATTTCCCACTGCAAAAGAAGGAAGAATAGTACTTTAAATAAAGCACTGTTAGTTATACTACTGTAGTAGATTTGAAGTATACTTATTTCGTACTGAAAAAGACAGAAAAGCACTCCTACATCAAAAGTATACTCTAAGTATACCCTTCAAATTATACTTAGAGTGTACTGCAATTCATGCAGTACATTAGGGGTATACTGGAAGTATACTTATCATCAGTAATTGCTGATACCGTATACTCTGAGTATACTGGAAGTATACTTCTCTATCAAAATTTTTTGTAAGGGCTGTCACATAGATTCTCATTTCATCAATGTGAAATGAAGATACAGGGCAATACAATGGTCTTTTAGGTTCAAACGTAAATGGAAAAGACCTTGTGAGATTATCAGTTGGTATCACAGCAATGGTATTTGTATTTATTCCATTTACAATACTATCAGTTATTGCGCTTGTGTTGATATTCAACACATCAATCGAATTTGTGATATTTGGTAGTTTTGTTCCATACTCTATTTTTGTAATAAGTTTCTTTTCAAATCCAATTAGGTCTCCAAATTCGGTTCCTCTCAGATCAAGTTGATAATCACCATCAAGTGATATGAGAACTCGATATGTGGAGAGAATAAAAGTTAGATTAATTGAATAAGTTTTTTTCCCACTTGAGTCTGTTGAGTGATGATTTTTTTGAGTCATATATTGATGAATGTAATCATTGATATCTGAGTAGGAATACATTCCATCTGTAAAAGTAATTGTTTGCCAGGTGGAACCATCGTGGGTGTATTTGATTTTATTGTTTCCATAATCACTTCTAATGTTGTACCAAGAGTAAGTCATGGACAGCCGATCAAGAGCAAGTTGGTGTTTCTTATCAGGGTCAAGTTTCAAAGATGGATTAAACTTAATAGTAAAATCACCAGGTCTGTTTGTTCCTCTTTTTTCCCTGTTTATTGAGGAAATGTGAATAGCTCGTTCTTCCATTTTTTATATAATAGGTATATAATTTTTTAGTAGATCATTTAGTTGTTTTTTTGAAATCACTTTCATTTGATTGAGAAGATGTGCTATTTGAGAAAACTCGGGTATTACACCATTATTCCCAGCAAGAATTGAACCACCAAGTAATTCAAGTCTGTCTAGAAGTTGATGTGGGTTGTTAAAGTAAATCATTCCTTCTCCTACCTTATATTTAAGCGATCTTAAGTAATCTTTCATTTTATTTCTATATTTCATTAGTGTTCCTTTTTGCATTTTTTTAATTTCAGCATCAGCTTCATACAGTGGAGATGGATTTTTAGCTTTCTTTCTACCACTAATTTCACCAGTTAGTTGTTTTATATTATCTTTTAAATGTTCTAAAGTTAGATCTAAAACTTTAGGATTAATTTCAAAAAAATCATTTGGCCTTGGGTAACCAAATTCTTTTAATAAATCTAGATCTCTCCCTTCAAAACTTTTTTCTAAATTTAAAATTTTAGGAGGGGGTTCTGGTATCCAATTTTTATCCCAACCTTCTTCGTTGGGAAATGGTAATTCTCTCATATCAGCTAATCGGTTGAACTGTTCAAAACCTTGAGTAAGAGCAAGTTGATTATTTTTAAGTTGAGCTATAGTTGCGTTTTGCTGCTCATCAATACTTTTCTAAATGCTATCCTGCGATTCAATAAGTGGCTTAAATGTTTCTTTAAAACCCTCTCTCATATTTTGTTTTTGCCATTTTGTTATTTTTATTACATCTCTCACCTGTCGAGTCAAAGCATCAGCTTCAATTTTATTTCTTGCAAGTTTTTTGTATTCTTCAACAGACATTGCTTGAGGATTGTGCTGCTAAATTTTACCAGAAATACAGCCACACAAATATTGAACTCTAGTGCAATTTAATGCATTTTAAAATATATTTTTATTAATCAATTTAACCGCTGTCATAGTAAAGTTTAACAAATCCTGTGTCCTCTGCCAATGTCAAGTGTATAATGTTACTTACAGTAGTTTTACAAACAACTCATCTGTTGCTGAAGCCACTGTCAGTACTCAGCTGCTCTACCCTACGGACTCTGAGCTGCTCGTCTCTGCAAGCCCATTTTTTTTGCTTTGGAAGTCCCGTATCTTCTATGCCTAAAAGCCACGGCAATTGCTGTAAATACTTTTTACTAGTAAGACCCTCTTGGATTCCATTACATGAGGTGAAAAAAGGGAGGATTCGTTGGGTCACAAGTACTCCATCAACAGAGTCTCAACAGCCTATAGCTGCGCCAAAAGCGTTAAAATTCTGTGCTCAGTTCCTCGACAATTAATTCTGATTAAATTTTAATCCAAGGTTATTTCAGTCCAAGTTTTGTGATTATGCCTTACTCGCTCGGAGATCGAGCTATGAAAACACTAAAAACATGTAGGGCAGTAAATACAAAAACGGAATATTCTGCAAATCCTGTATTATAGACCTTAAACTGAATGTGTTCATTACACTAACTGTGTTGCTTTATTGTTGTTTAAAACAATCAAGCTTAATAGCTCAACTTCAAATGAACGCACGACCGTTTTAGTAAAGAAAAATGAGGAGAAGCAGATCAAGAGAAGAAACTAAAATGTAGTTCCTTTCTAAACCTCACAAGAATCGACATCTTTTTACAAAAGAGTGAAAAAAATATAAAGATAACCCATTTATCGAAAGGAAAGGACAGCACTTACCTTTTCAGCCAGTCTCCCATTATTAAAATGAAATCATCGAAGAAAGGATTACAAATCGATGTAGGAAAGCTTAGGAAAAAATAAAAGTCCTGTTCTTGTTCTCTGCAGTTCAATGGATACACGTCATCTCTATCTTTGTTGTGATTGAACGAATGAAGAGAGTTTGGCAGCGGCGTTCAGAAATTCGCGCCAAAACCGTCAAAACACGGGTGCTAGGATCCAGTCTTTCATCGTCCCGTCCGAGTGCGGCCATCTTGGTTTCTGAACGTTCGGATCGATTTAGATCTTTGAGATCTTTGTGCATATGCTGATTTTTTTCCACCGGTTAATCTAATAAACAATATGTGAGGGACAAGCATGAGATCTGAACTGAGGTCAGAGTAAAGGAAACTGCTTGAGCTTCTTACATATATAGCCTTGAGTTCGCAAGTGAAGATCGAAGTCACTCTCCGTTCATCGATATTTACCTGTCGTTCTACGGAAGCAGAAGCTCAATGCCGAATGGAAGAACAAAAGGACGTTAAAGTGAGAACGCACGGCTGTATTTTCGGTCATTTTAATCACACTTCACAATTTTTCTTGCTCTTTTTGATTTAAACTTAAGCTTTGATGCATGCACGAATGCATGCAAGTAATTTAGCGACCGATCGTTTCTTATGTGTGTTTCTATCAAATTCTGTGATGGTCCTAATGTCAGTTTCATTTGCAGACTTGCTGATAGAATCGAGAAGGACTAAACTGAATTTGCTTTTTAACTGACATTGAAGGGAACTGGTACTTTTAATTTACATCCGTTTTGAGGCGTTTTGCACAATTTATTTTAAATTACAGTTACATGTAATTAATGTTTCCATTAAGAAAGAGCAGTAGCTAGTACAATGTTATGCCTTTTAATGGTCATTTATACTGCTGCAGTAGATTTGAAGTATACTTATTTCCCACTGCAAAAGAAGGAAGAATAGTACTTTAAATAAACACAGGAAGAACGCTTTCATTTTGGTGTCTTTAGTGAAAAATTAAAGCTCACCAAAAGTTCTGTTCCATCTTTAATTACCTTTAATTGTGACATTAAATTTCCGAAAGGTTTTCTGTCCCTTTAGTTTACCTTTAATTGACCTTTTGGTTACATTAAAGACTAATAACCTTTAGGTCTCGTTTTAATTGTCTTTAATTTATTCCAAAATTAGCTATTAAAATGTAGCACCTTTAATTTCAAATTAAAGCAAATTTAAATGATCTTAGATCTTTCCTCATCTTTAATTTGAACTTAANTCATTTATACTGCTGCAGTAGATTTGAAGTATACTTATTTCCCACTGCAAAAGAAGGAAGAATAGTACTTTAAATAAAGCACTGTTAGTTATACTACTGTAGTAGATTTGAAGTATACTTATTTCGTACTGAAAAAGACAGAAAAGCACTCCTACATCAAAAGTATACTCTAAGTATACCCTTCAAATTATACTTAGAGTGTACTGCAATTCATGCAGTACATTAGGGGTATACTGGAAGTATACTTATCATCAGTAATTGCTGATACCGTATACTCTGAGTATACTGGAAGTATACTTCTCTATCAAAATTTTTTGTAAGGGCTGTCACATAGATTCTCATTTCATCAATGTGAAATGAAGATACAGGGCAATACAATGGTCTTTTAGGTTCAAACGTAAATGGAAAAGACCTTGTGAGATTATCAGTTGGTATCACAGCAATGGTATTTGTATTTATTCCATTTACAATACTATCAGTTATTGCGCTTGTGTTGATATTCAACACATCAATCGAATTTGTGATATTTGGTAGTTTTGTTCCATACTCTATTTTTGTAATAAGTTTCTTTTCAAATCCAATTAGGTCTCCAAATTCGGTTCCTCTCAGATCAAGTTGATAATCACCATCAAGTGATATGAGAACTCGATATGTGGAGAGAATAAAAGTTAGATTAATTGAATAAGTTTTTTTCCCACTTGAGTCTGTTGAGTGATGATTTTTTTGAGTCATATATTGATGAATGTAATCATTGATATCTGAGTAGGAATACATTCCATCTGTAAAAGTAATTGTTTGCCAGGTGGAACCATCGTGGGTGTATTTGATTTTATTGTTTCCATAATCACTTCTAATGTTGTACCAAGAGTAAGTCATGGACAGCCGATCAAGAGCAAGTTGGTGTTTCTTATCAGGGTCAAGTTTCAAAGATGGATTAAACTTAATAGTAAAATCACCAGGTCTGTTTGTTCCTCTTTTTTCCCTGTTTATTGAGGAAATGTGAATAGCTCGTTCTTCCATTTTTTATATAATAGGTATATAATTTTTTAGTAGATCATTTAGTTGTTTTTTTGAAATCACTTTCATTTGATTGAGAAGATGTGCTATTTGAGAAAACTCGGGTATTACACCATTATTCCCAGCAAGAATTGAACCACCAAGTAATTCAAGTCTGTCTAGAAGTTGATGTGGGTTGTTAAAGTAAATCATTCCTTCTCCTACCTTATATTTAAGCGATCTTAAGTAATCTTTCATTTTATTTCTATATTTCATTAGTGTTCCTTTTTGCATTTTTTTAATTTCAGCATCAGCTTCATACAGTGGAGATGGATTTTTAGCTTTCTTTCTACCACTAATTTCACCAGTTAGTTGTTTTATATTATCTTTTAAATGTTCTAAAGTTAGATCTAAAACTTTAGGATTAATTTCAAAAAAATCATTTGGCCTTGGGTAACCAAATTCTTTTAATAAATCTAGATCTCTCCCTTCAAAACTTTTTTCTAAATTTAAAATTTTAGGAGGGGGTTCTGGTATCCAATTTTTATCCCAACCTTCTTCGTTGGGAAATGGTAATTCTCTCATATCAGCTAATCGGTTGAACTGTTCAAAACCTTGAGTAAGAGCAAGTTGATTATTTTTAAGTTGAGCTATAGTTGCGTTTTGCTGCTCATCAATACTTTTCTAAATGCTATCCTGCGATTCAATAAGTGGCTTAAATGTTTCTTTAAAACCCTCTCTCATATTTTGTTTTTGCCATTTTGTTATTTTTATTACATCTCTCACCTGTCGAGTCAAAGCATCAGCTTCAATTTTATTTCTTGCAAGTTTTTTGTATTCTTCAACATCCATTTTATTTAATATACATATCAGATAAAATGGAAATACCAAACTATGATACCAATGACAATCCAGATAAAAAATATAAACAGCTGTATCCTTACATGCCATCAGACACATTCCGGATGTTAATCTGTGGAAACAGTGGAAGTGGTAAAACTAATCTGTTGTACCACATGTTAATTAAACCACTATTGTACTATGATGAGATTTATCTTTACGCGCGTAATCTAGAACAGGATAAGTATCAAAAGCTAATTAAAAAAATGAGGGAGTTGAGTAGTAAACTGGGATATGAAATACGTCATGTAAGTAATGATGAAATAACCCCAGTAACAGAAATGGATTACGAAGACAATCAAAAACTTGTGATATTCGATGACTATGTTTGTGATAAAAACCAAAGACAACTGATTGATTATTTCATTCAAGGACGACATAAGAATTGTTCGGTGGTGTACCTCAGTCAATCATTTTATAAAACACCAAAGGACATTCGGCTGAATTGTTCTCATTACTGTTTATATGAATTTCCATCATCTAGGGAATCCAACAGAATATCATCTGAGTTAGGAGTTAATAAAGAGGTTTATAAAGCAGCAACTAAAAAACCGTATTCATTTTTATACGTTAATAAACCACAAAAACGTATTGCAAAAAACTTTACTGGTAATCTAACCAATAATTAAAATGGGAATATTTAACGAACAATCTCTTGATCATCCCTTTGCTAGGGGAATTCAGGGTGCTCCAGGAGTTGGATTTAATCTCACTTCAAGTGGAGATTATGATTTCTCAAACTCATTAATAATTCATTAAGAAAATACAAAGGAAATTAATGTTTAATGAGTGTTTGGAAATCGGATGAAACACTGCTTAGTATTTGCATCCTTAATTTCTCCTTCAAAAATGATTTTGTTTGAGAAGAAATATCAAACATTCGACACAGTGTTTCATCACCAGATGAAACACCTCGAAGTTCGTCAAAAATACTCCGCTGCGCGTCGTATTTTCAACTCTCTTCTCGGTGTTTCATCTGGTGATGAAACACTGCATCTCATGTTTGATATATTACATGATAAATAAAAAACTAAGAAATGTTGGTGCACCTAGTGTTAATACTGATGCTGCTACAAAAAAGTATGTTGATGATAATTCCGGTGGATCACCCGCAACATCACGACTAACAGTTGATTCAGACATTGATATGAATCATAGATACCGTATATTAAAACTCAAACATCCAGTTGACGCAGATGAACCAGCCACAAAACAATACTCAGACAGTCGTTTTCTTGACAGAGATGGTTCTCGTACAATGATTGGAGATCTGAGCATGAATAACAATCGCATTGTTAATGTTAAAACACCATGAACACAAAGTGACGCTGCAACTAAGAAACATATAGACGACTCTAAAGTTGATGGTAGTGTCTTTTTAAAACTAGATAAAACAAGAAAAATGACTGGGGATCTAGATATGGACAACAATCAAATATTAAATTTGCCAGCTCCAGTGGGTCCCAAACAACCAACACCATTAGGTTTCACAGATTTGAAGTATCTCCACGTTGCTGGAACAAATAAAATGACTAATAATCTAAACATGGATAATAAAAAAATAATTAACTTAAGAATACCAACAAATGATGCAGACGCCGCAACTAAAAAATATGTGGATGATAACACAGCTGCCCCAGATTTAAGTGATTACTTGGAAAAAGATGGTACCGTCACTATGACTGGAGACCTTAATCTCGGTAATAATAAAATAGTTGGTCTCGCAACTCCAGTGTCAAACACAGATGCTGCAACCAAAAAGTATGTTGATGATAATGCTGGAAGTCCAGATTTAAGTGATTATTTGAAAAAAGATGGTACCGTCGCTATGATTAGAGACCTTAATCTTGGTGGTAATAAAATAAAAAATTTGAGTAATCCAACCCATGACAATGAAGCAGTAAACAAAGATTACGCTGACAAACTAGTTCACAAAACTACAGTTCAACCAAGTCATTACAACGACCAGTTTGCTTATCTTATGTCAAGTGCGGCTCAATGGACTGATGAAATAGATGGTGGAGGTAGTTTTAATATAAGAAGTATAGGAGACTTATCTCCTTCTAAAGGTAATTTTCATGACTATAACCACAAAGTACTTTTTATGGCAATAAACAAAAATTCACAAGGTGGATATAAGTATAAGATGGGAATCAACTTTTACAGGTTAACTGCAAATACTGATTACACCCTGTGTATGGAAATACTCAACACTGATTATCAGCTGTGGCATAAGTCACAAATAAGTGTAGACAAAGGAACTTCAACAGGATTATCAATTGGAAATGTTAGTGTAAGAAAACTATCCGATAGGTATCTTGATTCAAAAAATCAACCAAAATTTATGTATTATCACAGAATAATAATTAATTTTCGGAAGTTGTCATCTGGTAATAAGTTCTTTCTTCACATTTTAGTTAATATTCCTCAGGATGGAACTGACCTGGCTGTGTATCCGAGACAGTTTTTAGGGGTTTATATAATTACTTATGGTATTGTGGGTACATTTAGCAATATCGACCCAAATAAAGTTTACGACTATCACACCGCATTTGATATTAAACCAACAGAAGTAGTGTACAATGTTGATATTAATGCAAATCAAAAAGCAATTAGAAATATTAAACTTGAGCGACAAAGTGACAATAGTGCTGCAACAGTTGCAATGGTAAAAGAGATAACTCCTTTTACCAAAAATGCTTTGTACAGAAAATATTTTAAAGAAGTTTATGATTTTACTGATGCGAATATTTATGAATTAAATATGGGTGTATCTGGAGTTATTATTAATTCTTTAAAACCTAATATTACACTACCTCCTAATAAAGACCTAAGTAATATAACAAATAAAGGATTAAATGTTAATGGTTATGATGTTACTTTTTCTCCTTCACATTCTTCGCAATCTACTTTATGTAATGTTTTTAATCATTGGAGAAATAGGAGTTTTACCCTAACTAAATATATATCAACAAACAATAATATTTTATTAAAATTAAATTATGATGAATCAAACAATAAAGTAAAACTAAATATTAATAAAATAACTCTAAGTTTTACCATGCCAAGTAGTTTTAATGGAAAAATAATTGTTTTATGGCTAACAGAAAATTTTAGTGCAAATGTCTCAAAAGTTAAAATAAGTAACTACAGCTCAACATTAACTATACCAGCCGTTCATTACAATGTTAATCAACGTTGGAAGTTTACAACTGAAGATGGAGTGATAAGTAGGTTAATGTTTTCTCCAATCTTTTACGACACTGACTCTACTCAATTCCACAAAGTAATGCTTCAAGAAAAGTTAAATGGATCTTATATAGTTTAAATATAAATGAAGGATATATTTGAATTCAATCACATTGATAAATCTCTGTCAGAATCAGACGTCACAACTCTCAAAGACTTTTATAGTCACTATCATAAGAAATACTGGTGTTTTAAAAAGTGTTATAAGAGTTACAAATTTCTTGATGATGTGTTTACAATTTCTGGAATATGTCTAGTAGCAATAGGAACTCTTACTGGTGGTTTAACACTAAACCCCGTTGTTCTAGGAGTTGTAAATGGTGCTGGAGTTGTCGTGGCGGGAATTGGAAAGAAAAAAAAAAAAGAAAAATTGAAATGTCAAGAATTGCATTAACCACATATGAAAAAGTACTCGTTGAAATGCGTGCAGCTCTTCGGGGTGATGAGTGGGACAAAGAAGAGTTTGTTAACCGCATGAAATTGGTAGATGAAATGATAATTGATCAAACTCCTATAGCAGATAGATTTGCTAGTAGGTATAATAAAAAATTTAATCTAAGTATAAAATAAAATGGATTATTACTTTAAAAAATTTGAAAATCAATTAATTGATTCTTATGAATCAACTTTATCTGTAGAAGAATATGAAATTTGTAAAGAAGTTGATTTTATACTTTCAGATGATATTGACTTGATTAGAGATAAAGCTAATGTTTATTGTCTTCTTTGTACAAGTTTAAAAAAAGATAAAATTGATACAAAGTTGTTTGAAAGATGTAAAAAGTATTTAGATAATTAAATAATTATAGACATATAAAAAATGCTTTAGAAGATATTTCAAGATCAAGAAAAATGGTTTAAAGATTAAAATACTAATTATTATAAATATTTGAATGAGTATTTTTTCTATCTTTTTTTAGATGTAGCTGTTTTCAATATTTAGATAAATATTGAAAACTAATCTAAATATTTGAACGTATACTTATTACCATTTTTTCTAGATTTTGTTGTTTTATACTTTTTTCTACAAATCTTTGAAATATTTGAATAATTAATATCTAATTCAATCGAGGCTGTTTTAATAGAATTATATCTTTTTTCTTTTCCAGTTTTTATATTTATAGAAATAATTGGTTTATTTTTACTTTTTTCAACATTTTGCTTATGAGTAAGCAGTTGTAAGTTTTTTATTCTATTATCTGTTTTAATATCATTTAGGTGGTCGACTTCAAAAAATCTTGGAATTGGTCCTTTGAAAACTTCATAGACAAATCTATGATAATAGTAATGTTTTGGTTTTTCGAGTTTTTTATCACAAATAGAAAAATATATATAACCACTACCATTATCTCTCATCTTTAAAATTTTTTCAAATTTTAAACTTAAAATATCTCCATTTTTACTTGCAGCATAATTAGAAAACACTGGGTGCTTGTAGTAGTCCATCAATTATTACTCTTTGTTTTCTTTTAGAATCTATCAATTTATAATATCCATATTTGCGAATATATGGAAGAACTTTGGAAAAAACCCATTCGCGGAATATTCTTGCACTTGGTAATCTAGATTTAAAAACTAATTCATAGAAACCTGGCTCATCAATAAAATAAGTCATAGAGCAACCGTGCGTTTCGCACGGATGGTTCAAAAGAATTTTTCTTTTGTGATTTTCACTTACATGGCTCTTTATAGCTTTTTCTGTATTTTTGTATCCAAGTATCTGAGCAACTTCTTTGGCTTTGAACCAGACATTTAGTTTTTCATCAATGTAAGAATTAAACTTAATTCCAAGTTGATAATTAATAAAAGATTTCTGTATCATTTAGTTTATTCTTTTATTTCTTTAAACCATTTTTTTTTCTATCTAAGCATAAGATAGAAAATGATTAGTACAATTGTAGAATATGTTAATTTTTACTTTCCAACTTATAAAACACAGTTTTACTGTGATAACTTTATTAAAGCTTGTCTTGTTTACCAGTTTCTCTATGCAAAGTATTTTACACAAAAAATGGATATAAACCAAATTATTTATAATTTGTCAGACGCTAGACACTCTCTAAGAACAAACTCGCCAACACTAGCCAATCACCTGATATTTACTCTCGCTTTTAAGGCTTTCTGGGAACATTATAGAATAGGAAGAAAAAATGTTTATTTATTCAATTCTCCAATAGAAAGTGAAGTACTCGGTTATCTAACTGGAATTGTTTACTGGATTTTTCACAGAGGGGTAGCGAATTTCGATATCTAAATAATTTTTTAATTCATATATTAAATTACTAATAAATTGAATTTTAATTATCTTTTTATTAATATAATCAATAAGAGGTAAAACCATAAAAATAATTTCATCATCAATCCAATGTTCAATATTAAGTTCTTTAAACCTACAATTATAATTAGGATCTTTAAGTTTATCTAAAATTTCTTCTAAATTATGTTTTAAATAATTATATTTTTCAAACAAAGAAATAATATATTTTAAATCACTTATAATAATCTCTAAGGGTAAATCACCAGAGTAGCTATAGTGAGGAATAAATAAATTACATCTTTCTATAATTTTATATCCATTACATCTAGTTTCAGAATCCATTTTTATTAAAACATTTTATTTTTTAAACCATTATATTTACATGATTAAATACTTGCAAAGTATGTAATCATTTTTTATTATATTATTTTTATAACTATTCCACCACTTTTCATAATTTTCCAAAGTTTGTTGCCCAATTTTTAAATAAATTAGTTTATACTTTTTAATTCCCATTTCTTGTAATTTTTTTTATTATATAAAAAATATTTATCATTCTTTTTCTACAAATTTTTTTTTGTTAAGTATTTCCATTACATTATCATCTATTGACATTAGATTATTATACAGTTCACACTTTTCATCATCAGTTAAATTTATTCTTTTTTTTAACTTGATTAACTTTTTTCTCATAGTGATACTTTCTCTGATAAATACTCTTCTTTCGAAAATGAAATGGATCGTACTCTTTCAAGTCAAAATAACCAAGAACATGACCATTAGTTAAACCGCAAGAATCACAAATATTATAACCTAATTCAATACAAAAACTATCGCTTTGACAATTACTACATCTAACTTTTGTACACACCTCCCCTTCTGATTGGGAATTACTATAACTTCTTAATATTTGTAAATATTTTCCTATCTCTTTTGTGTAAGTCATTTATTATTTATATCTTATTATCTTAAAGCGATGGTTTTTATTTTATTAAACATCACCGTGCGTTTATCATCTTCATTACTCAGAGCTATTTTATTTACTTCTTTTGAATATATATCATGATTTTCACTTCTTATTGTTTTCATAGATCTCATTTGCTTTTTACCCAGAAATAAACAATCAACATAATCTTCAAAATCTAATTTCTTTTTTATAACATTTTTCTTTATACCTTTACATTTACGAACTTCTTTACGATCCTCTATTTTAAAACTATAAAGTTTGGGTCGCAATCCAACAAAACAAGTAATTTGTTTTCCTGCTACTTCATCTTTAAACATTCCTATTACTTTTTTGTTAACTCCTGTTAGTATACCAGACGGGTGATCACTAGGATAATCAGATGTGTCAAACTTGTCTTCTATGTCATGTGATATATCTTTGTAAAAATCATCTGTGTAAATGTGATACATCAAGCTATCGGTATCTGTAAACAATAACTCAGCCTTGTCTTTATATTTCTTTTGAATATAGTTGTAATGAAAATCAAAGATTAATGTTTTTGACAGATCAAGATAACGAACAGGTTGTATATGACCAAACAATTTTATGTGAAGACAAAAAAAGTATACTTGGCGTTATTCTAAAAATAGTTTATAACAACGAGATAGTTTCAATCCTGCACTTGTTAATTTTACAGCTTTTTGACGATCATCAATAATAAATATATTTTGTCTTTTTCTTATGTTTTCTATTGTTTTTCCAAATACAGAATTATTCATTAGTTTGAAAAAGTCTTTCTCAAAACTGTTAGCTGCCGTTTTTCTAAATTCTGTATTCTTTCTTATATAAGGTTCCATCCAAGGAGATTGGTAAAATGATATTCCTCTGTGAACAGCAGTTATTCTCATTCCCATCTCTAGGTATTGTCTTAGATTTCGATAATGTACAACATAATTTTTTCTTGGTTTAAAATGACAAATTAGTTTTTCAACACCATTAACATTCATCTTCTGAGGTGCAAGTGGATAGTCATTATGTGTTTCCCATAGGTTGGAAGGATATTCTAAATCAACCTCAGATATATATCCTTTTCTTCCACGATTTGACATACTATAATTTGCTTTTTCTGAAATTTCCATTACTTTGTCTTTTGTTAGGTTTTTAATCCATTTAAATCCATGTGTTGGAAGTGACTGTGACATTGCCCATCCGTAAAGATTGTTTGCATCAAGATATTGAATATAAGTAGACTCCACATCAGGTCTATAATCTTTCATGTATTTATTATTCGCTTCTGCATATCTTTTTGATATGTGAGATATTCCACCACGAATTCCTTTTTAAAACATCATCAACATATCATAATCATGTAGTAACTGTAATTCCTGACCTGTTTCTTTGAGACATGCATCCCAAGCTAAACCAGGAGATGTGTAATAATGAGCTGGATCTAGGTTGTAATGTTTTAAACAAGTTTTTCTAAAATTCTCAAATACATCTGCCAAAAGTAGGACATCAGATTTTAAGTAAAGATCGTGATAATCTCTAATTGTTTCACATCTAAAAGTATTCCAGACATTAATAACGTGTTGATAATCATCATCAGTTATGTCTTCATCATTTAGTTTTGAATAGAATTCTTCTTTTGGAGGTAATTGTGTTTCAGATAGTTTTTCCATTGAGGAAACATAGTCATATGGATAAACTCCCTTACGAGTTAGTAGGTCTACATTTTCACTAAATATTTCTTTTGTATTATTAAAATCATCTGGTTGTAGATTTGAAACAAGATTAGCAAGACTTGTTTGAAGAAACTTGAATGAATCAATAAATCGTATTTCAAAATATAATGGAATAATTTCTCCATTAAGTCTAGATTTATACTCATCAACCTTAATCTTTTTGGAAAAGGAGATATACTTTTCTTCCGTAGATGGAATACAGTTTAACTCACCTGGTAAACAAGCAAGTTGTTTTATAAACAAATGAGCATCATATCCTTGAAGATTGTGAAATATAACTGGAAGAATCATTGGTTTTCGACACTGTAGATTGCAACTGTTATGAGCAGCTCCACGGTACTGACCAGTAAAATGACAATGATCTCTAACTTTGTCAGACAGTAATTCTTTCTTACAAATATGACAAATCTCCGCTTCATCAAATGATTTTTGTTCGGCGTGTGTTAGTCTAAGAGGTATTGGACGACGATAGAAATCATTATATATCTTATTAGTTACTTTTGCAATTTTAGAAACAAATATTTTAGAAATATTATCACTGTCTTTGGTTTTTGTGTAAGTAATTGGTTCAAATTTTATACCAGGAACTATTCCTTTTATATAAAAACAAAATCCTGATGGTTCATGCTTTTGGTAATTGTAATTATACGATTCTTTTGGATTAGGACTGCAAGTATTCATTGGCTTGGCAAAACATTCAAAAAATCTGCATAAACTACAAAAAGAATTGGAAGTTGATTGTGGTAATTTTTAAAACCTAACATTGTGTTTTGTAGAGGCATTTTTACAGCCACTGTTTCATTATTTGAACAATATAAGATATGCTTTTGTAATATTTCATTCTTAGTGAAATGACTAAAGCATTTCTTACAAATAAATACTGTACCATTCTTACTTGAAGTTTTTTGCGATTTAATCAAACGAGTAAAGTTTTTAATTGGTGAATAATGAGAAACACCATCTTCTTCATATAAAAACAAATCAACAGTATTTAAACAATCTCTCTCTGCCATTCTCAAAGGATAAAACTTTTTGTTTTCATTAACTGAAAAAGCATTGATCCCTGGAATAGTTGGATTAAGTTTTTCAAATTTAGAAATATCTCTTAATTTCATAGGAAAACTAATTCCTTTGGTGTTAAGTGAAAACTCATACTTTTTCAAATCTTTTAATCGTGAATCATTATCTTCTTTTGGATAAAGATACCTAAGTATACACCAAAGAAAGCATTTCTCATCTTTGTTTCAATATTAACTATTGCTTTTTTATTTGTTATCCAATCTGGAAGAGGAGTATAAGTTGATCCCTTAGTTGGATTAAACTCAACAATATGAATTTCAAGTTGAACCACTTCTTTAAAATACCATCCACTTCCATTTTTTTGAAATATCTCTAAATCTTCAATAATTTTTTTTAACACACTTATCAATTAATTTCTCTACATCTGTTGATTCAAGATTAATATGTGTACCTGAGTTAAAGTATGCTTTATCTTCATTTAATCCAACAACTCCCTTATCTTTACTAAGTATTTGTTGTTCCATTAAACAAACCAAAACCATACTAAATTTAATATTTCGATTATATGTAAAAAAATCTTCTAAAGTTTTATAAACTCTATTAAAATATTCAATTGGAGTAAGACCGGGTTCTCCTTTAATAATATACTTAACAGCAAAGTTTTCAAAAGCTGATTTTTCTTTTACAAGTCTTTGATGATATTCCTTAATAGCTCTCTCAAGAGCTTCACGAAAATAAGGAGGAGTATCTGCGGGGAATTCTTTATTTTCTATACATTCCTGAAAATACTCATCAAATGTTTTTATCTTTTTAATTTCATTAACATTACCTTTTTTTATCTTTTTAGTTTTGGATTTCTTTTTCCTTTCTTTTTTTATATCAATTCCTTTTTTTACTTTCTCATTAAGTTTATCTACTTTTCTAATATCACTTAATTCTTTATAATTATCCTTAAGTCCTTGTTTCTTCTGATTTAATATATATTTTAATTAATCCAAGGATAAACTCTTGTACTCTTTATCACTTATAAAGGGTTGAGAACCCTGAAAACCATAAGTTGATTGGTTAGACATGACGTCTTATAATCTTATTATTAGATTATAAGACTTTAAGTTATAATTAATCACTATCACTATCACTATCACTATCAATATTTATTTTATTGTAAAATTTACAAAACAACTCATAAAAATCTCTATAACCTAAATAATCATCAGGACAACCATCAACAAATTCATCATCTTCTTCAAAATCAAAATACATTCTTTCAAATAAAAATAATATATTTTCAACATCACACTCTTTAAAAGTAAAACAACTAGTATCCTTAAGATAATTAAGTTCTTGAGTTTTTAAAAATTTTTTTATAAAAAACTTAATTTTATCAGAATAATTAGAAACAAAAAGTTCACTACAATCTGAAAGATAATTTAATACAAAATTATCCAATTCCTTATTAATCCCTCTTATAAAAAGGTATTCATTTTTAAAATCCCTTGCATATAGTGGGATTTTATTAGTTTTTTTAATGCAATTCTGGAAATTCGAAGACTGAGCCAGGATACCCATTTTACTAACTACTTAAATATGATTATGGCATATTTTGAACTTAAGAGTTGCGTACAGCAAGACATCTCCTCTGTTATCCATGCTATATGTTAGACTTACGATCAAAGTAAAGGTGGGGATACCAGAGAGCTTCAAAGTAAGATGGTACCCTCACAAAAAAACTGGGTCGAGTCACTAAAGCGTTCGCTTGTCAGGTGCCGAAAATATCACAAGTCATGATCAAATGGCGCCGCCGAGCCTCACATCTCGGTAGATTTACTTTGTAGCACAACGGCTGCCGAGCTACACAACTCGGTAAATTTACTTTGTGGCACAACGGCTGCCGAACTAAACCCGGTTTGATGCAAGCACCAGGAGTCGCACACATTTTCCAAAGACAGTGACGAACCATGCTGAAAAATATGAAGGCTTAATCCGCAGTAAAATTTAACAGCAAACTTCTGAAAAATGAACGCTCTAGACTATTCAGCAAACACAGACCGATGTACAATTTACGAAGATTCAGCAAAATTTTCAAAAGATGAACGCTTTACGAAGACAGAATATCAGACCTCAGAAACCTTTGAAAGATGAACGCCGAGGACATAAGAATCACCACGTGAGATAGCGCCTCAAAGCCAGGCAGATGTGTGTCGACGACGAAAATGCAACCTTAAAAAATCCTCCCTTATTAATTGCACAGTACACCCAACAATGCACAGAACACACAACACAAATTAGGGGTTGCGTTCTCGTACCTCGAACGCAATAATCCCAAAGTTTACCGTGGTGTTTAATTTTCCCGCTTCAGTCTCTAGTAATAGTGCAATATTTTACACGTACGGCCTTTAGGAGGGCAAAAAATATCTAAGAAAACGACCGATTTTCTTTTCAAAGCAGCCTGCAACTCAGCATGAAAAAATTCAAGTCGGTGGGAATCTTATTTCATTCACTTGTTCACAAGTAAAATGAGGAAGAACAATATTCTATATCAGGCTAATGAACAGATCAGAGTCAGAAAGTCTGGCTTAAAAGATAATACATGAATACGAACATCTAAGGGTACTGTGTTTACCAGAACGACTCTTTGGAAAAACAAAAGAGCATACCTGGTTTTCGTTTTACTGTCACGTTGGTTCTGGCCCTCTTTGTTCCCATTGTGTTTGTTGCAATGCACTCGTACAAACCGCTGTCAGCAGAAGTTAAGTTCTTTATGGTTAGTGTTCCTTGGTTTACTTCGGTCCTTCCAGCTTGCAAAGGCATTCCAACTCTTCTCCAGTTTATTACGGGATGAGGGAAACCTTCAGCTTGACAAACTACTTGATAAGTAGTGCGCTGTACTAGTGTAGCTCGTGATGGTGGAACTTTTGTGAAGATTGGAAGACCTGACAGAAGATTAACAAGGTTTAGTGTATAACACCGAACAAAGAGCAATCGTTGCGCGCGTGGTCTTAGCCAGCTGCAAAAGTGGATGCCTCATAAATTGATCTTCTATGAATATATGCTTGGTGTCCGCCAATGACGTCATGGAGCATTTTGCGTTTCCAGGCAACATAGACTTTGCCGCCGATGATCAAGTAGCCTGTTCCAGGCGTTCAGATAGTGGGGAGCGGTGCGAAGTAAAAAGGAGCGCAAAAAAATAAAAGCGAGGGAGGAGGAGAGGTGAGAGAGGGAACACCTGTTAGATTTGTTTTAAATAGACTCTTCCGCCCAGTCAGACCGCATCCGCTGTAGGTGGTCTTTACTTGTCAATCAAGACTGATGTTACAGCCCGATGCATTTATTATTTTTCAACGCTTATTTAGCTTCAAACAGTCTAGTTTTTAATTATAATACATATGTATTAGAATGATTTTTGGGTTTGTAAGACTTTCAGACAATAGAAGGCGGGAAAGGTATTCATATAAAATGAATTTATTTACGGCTTTAAAACATGATTTCAGCGTGTACGTGACAAAAAATTATGAATCAAGTGACAAACAAATATCGCTCATTTTGATAGAAAGCCGTTTCAATACAGATCGTTAACTCAAGCAATGAAAATGCACAACAATTGAAGGAAAAATTTACTATTCGGTGACAACTTGCTTTCCAAGCTTTCCTTTTTGAAGTCCTTTTGTCCATTCATTAGACAACCACGATTTGGCACTTCAGTAAACAGTTTCACAGCTTCCACTTTTAACGGCTTCATCCATATCTTCTCCCATCATTGCCGCCGCTTCTCCGATTTTGTTCAAATATTCCACTTGGTCTTCCATGCTGGTAATCAACGGAGTTACCACAACAATCGTAAATTGCATTCTATCCTGCCTTCATTCCAAAGCACGCTTTATTCGAGGAAAAAGCTGGAAAATAAGAATTTTTCCAAAGCCAGTCGGTGAGAAATTGCTAAGACATCTATCCTACCGACTACGTGTTTCAAACAGTTTCTTTGCTCTTCGCTTTTAGCCTCCACGTTTGGAAAGACACTCAGCGCTGTGTTTGTTGCGAGTTTGAATTCTGCGTGACGGCACGTAGAGTCTGTCATAACGGCCATATCGCATTTCTCGCTGTGATCAAAGACGCTCCACTGTTGACAAAAACTGTCAAAATCAACCAATCAGAGGGTATACCAGGATCTGGTATACTGGAACGCACTTCTGTTAAAAATTCTTACAAGCGTTCCCGCACCTCTCTCCCCAGTCCCCCTCTACTTTTCATCGCTTTCTTTACTCCGCACCGCTCTCCACTATCTGAACGCTTGGAACAGGCTAATGATCAAGGCGCATTTTGTTGTGTTGATTTATCGTCTGTGAAACAATCAGTGAACAATGTTTAACATTGGTGAATCACGAACAATTCCCCACGCAAATGACACACAAGCGCAACAAGTGGCTCCAAGTCTTCGCCCAGGAAGATTTTACACCGAAACTCCTCTGGAGCGAGAACGCCGACTTCAAATTCAGCGTGAACAACGAAGGAGAAGACTTCAACAAGAAACCGCGGAGCAGAAGGAACATCGCTTAGCACAGCGAAGGCAACGCCGACGATAAGAGATAGAGGAACAGGAGATTGGAGATCAGAGGCATTATGATCTTTTTACACAGTGGAAAACCCAAATTTATTGGTTTGCCGGTTTCCCCGCCGATATATAGATCAAAGTCTGCAAAGTTTCAGCTCTGTACTACGGCCCGAAGTATAATAATTTTCATGCGAACTGCACTGCCATATTTGTGCTTTGTTTTTGTATTGCTTTTTTTTTAATCCGGAGGCCGGAATAATGCTAAATATGCTTTTCAATACACTTTTAACAATAACACCACACAATACGCAAAAAAGAAGAAGAAGAAAAGAAAGAACAACGTATGGACCTTTACGACGATCAGTTCGCGGTTGGTCACCCATCCAGTTCTTAATCCCGACCGACCGGGCTTAAGGTGTTTCGATGTAGTTTTTCAGAGGCCATACCGGTATTTTTAAAAGTGTTTTTCTCCTTGTCTGATCGCTATAAAATTTTTACCAGTGATTGACTATAGATTGAAATTTGCCAAAATGTAGGTTTTAGTAA